AAGCCTCGTCTACATAGAAGTCGTAAAGTCGTAGTCGTAAGAATAATCGACTGCGATTGGTCAATTTCGTCAGACACATAAGAATTGACCAATCATAGTCGACTATTCTTACGACTACGACTTCTATGTAGACGAGGCTTTAACCGACGTTTGTGAAACTGGCCCTAAGGACGATACTACTTGTGGCCCATCCGAGTGGACAAGTTTACACGGGCATTTTAGCACGACCGTACCAAAGTTTGATTTTCAGGGCATCAGTTTCACAAACGTCGGTCAACTGTTAACCAGAGTTCAGTCAATTCCCTTCGGTTAGCCGTTAACCGACGTTTGTGAAACTGGCCCCAAAGACGATTCTGCTTGTGGCCCATCCGAGTGGACAAGTTTACGCGGACATTTTGGTACGACTGTACCAAAATATGATCCTCGTATGATTTTAACTGCTTTCTCATGTGGAAATGGGACCTTGAGTTACGTTACAGAACACATTTTCACCGAGGAAAATTTTACAGAACAGACGGAAGCAATCGGAAAAGCTCGAAAAAGCTTCGGAATGGCCATCGAGTAACATTTTTTTTCCCACAAGCAAGGTTATCCTCAGGTGTGGGAAGGGCAAGAGCGTTCGAGCCTCGAAAGCGAGTGTACGTTGCGACGCGAGGCTCTTGCTATATTCGGCCGCGGAATAATCGACCGAGCATTTTATTTATTTATTCGGCTGCCCAACGCGCAGCGCGCGGCTCGCTCCGACGCCTCCGGAGAGTCGTCGTATCCTCGACGGCGAGATCGTCGGCCCGAGAAAAACGCGACAAATTCGAGGTATCGACTCGTAGCCTCCGCGGTCGCGTGCGACCACTCACGCGGCGCGGCGCGGCGCGGCGCGGCGCCGCGTCGCGTCGCGTCGCATTGTCGCGACATATAACCTCCAAAGGCGGGCGCGTACCGCATCTCGGCGGCGCACAGACGCGCTCGCAGCATCGCGCGCCAAGGAAACCGAGGGAACGCGAGGCTCGAAACGTCGCGCGGATCGTCCACGGACGACTCGCGATCGGCAGCGGCCGCGGTGCGCGCGACGAAGAGGGGCGCCGAGCCGACACGTCGACGGCGGCCGGAAATCATAGGCTCAACCCCCGCGGGGCGAGGGGGGAAAATAAGTCGCCACGAGTCCCTCCGCATCTCCAGCGACGCGCCTCCGTGACGCGTGACGTTTCGGCCCTACACGGCGCGCGCGAGTCCGCATCTTCGACCGGCGGCGGCGGCGGCGGCAGCGGCGGCGGTGAATCGGCGCACGTCCGCGCGACCGCGACGGCTGATGGTCCGCTTACCTGCGCTCGGCGTAGGCCCGTGGCCCCAGGGAAGTCCGACGCGTGGGACGCACCGAGAACGAATTCCTCACGCACGTACACGAAACGAAACTTCGGCAGGCAATCACGTCGCAATGGCGAATCGCGGGTGCGTTGCGATCACTGAGGGGGACTCCGACGTCGCGCCTGGCGCCATCTCGCGGCGCCGAGCGCGCGACGTCGAGCCATTGGCGGAGCGCGGCCAATCGCGGGGCGGCGCTGTTTTACGCGGGAAACGCTCCGGCGCGGCCGACGCCATCTTGCTCGGCCGTTTTTGAAATCCTAGCTCCGCAACCGTTAACCGGCAAAATGCCCGTTCGCTCTCGACTCGGCTCGGACTCGCGCTATACAGATTTAGAACGCGGGGCGAGCTCGATGCTTACGCGAACGGCGCAAGAGACTCGCCGCTCGACGCGATGAAATGGCAATGTCGCAGCGAGATACCCGAGATCTCACTCGCTGCGACATTGGGAATGCCGGAGACTCGGCCGAGGCGACGACGAATCGCCGGCTGATTAACTCGGTTAATTAATAAAGCGTCGATGCGTCTGCACGTACCTGGCGATAATCGCGCGCTCGTGCCTCCGCTCTCGCCGCACCTCGGGAAACGAACATGGAGGCCGGATCCCAATTAACCTCTTCCGGGTCCCCGCCGGGCCGACGATCCCGAGATCATCGGCGATACCTCGACGGGTCACGGAACGAATCCGAGTCACGAGTACCTCGCGGCGCTCGCGACTTCGCCTTCGCGCGCGAGATTCACCTCCGGATAATCGCGAGACGCGCGGACCGACGCCAACTGGACCCCGCGAGCCGCCGTGGCGCGTTCCGAACTGACGATTCTCCAATTCGCGGCCAACTTCAGCTCGATCGCGATTCGTTTCCTCCAGCGTCGTGAAGAGTGACAAATTTTTACCAAATATTGAATCAATGAATTTCCCATACAGCACACAAATGTTGACTCAACATATCAAAAACGTTTCATTACAATATTGCATCAATGTTATAAAATGCAGATCAAACGTTGAATAGATATTACAAAAACGTCTAATGTCCGCTGAATCGTAATGTCTTGTAAACGTTACAATTCAACGTTCAGAAAACATTGTTAAATTGTATTGAGTTAACGTTGGTCGCGTTTAACAGAATATTTTTTACAATTATTGAAAGTGCTGGAATTGAATTATTCCACTAAAAGAATCCAATCTTAGCTCAGAAAATTTCAGACAGTTGCAAAAATATTATATATATAATTTCATAATTACACATTTTTTAAATTGAGTATCAAAAAATAATAATTTGTTCAAGATTGATTTAACGTTGCAGCAATATAAAGAATTAAGGTACAAACTAACATAGATTCCGTAGAAAAGATATGTATACTTCGATATTCAACATTACAACGTTTCAGCAACATTATTTTAACTTTCTGTGCTTTGAATTCGTTGAATTCGTTAATGAAATCTTTCACTCTCCACGAGTTTGCGCTGGAGAAAAAGATTCACGATCGAACTTCAGGACGATTATCTAACGGCGCCCCGAAATCGAACGTCGGAATTAATAATTTGCGCGCAGTTTACAGAATACGTATGTACAATTTGCAAATAACTATTGATTGTTCAATTAACAATTCGTTATTTCATGATTTAGGAATAAACGCGCGGCACTCGCATCTCCCGTCTCGTTACCGTCCCTCAACTCGCCGCTTTCCACCTCGGCCGCGATACTTCCGAGAGGGCGTTAGCGCACGGTGAAACGAAGCGAGCCACGCAAGACCGACCCTCCCGGCACTACGAACGCCATATTGTCGGATAACAGAGTCCTTCGAGCGTTTAACAATTAACGTCGAGATGGACAACGGCGAATTCAATTTCGAGGGGTCTATTGATCGACATGCGGCTGGTAATCGTCTTACCGGTTCGCTTTTTCGCAAATAAAACGCCTCGGCGCTAGGAATTTCAGTGAACCAGCTTCGTTGCTTCGTCCATTTCGCTATTTTTTTTTAGTCATCTTCGTGAAAAAATGTTACATTTATTTTAATGCTGTCGCGCTTAAGGGACTTATCTCTCTTCTGATTAAAAGAAAAACCGCCGAACTGAATGAAAACTAATCCAAGAAAGTCAAAATATGAGCAAATGTTCATATTTCGAATCCTCTTTTATCGAGAAAAGTGCCGCTAAAATTGATTTTGAAGGATTCTTATTGACTGAAAAGATATTTTACAGACACTTTTATCGATAAGAGAGGATTCAGAATATGGGCCAAAGAATTTCGCTAAATAAATGTATCTTCTTGCTCGCATCTCAGCGTTCGACTTTCTTACATCTCGGCTGATCTCTCTCTCTCTCTCGCAAGGTTGTACCTCGATTTTACACAAACTTCGGTTATTCTTAAATTAAACGCTCATTTAGGACCAGAATGAACGTTTAAACAGAAAAACTGGAAATTGTATAAAATCGAGATGCGACCTCGCGAAAGAGATCAATAGATTTCTTTTTACATACAACGAGCGTTGACTTATTTCATGAAAAAAAAATCAAAACATGGTTTACGCAGCGTCCAACGAGATCAACATGATGGACGTCGACGGCATCGATTTCGACAACGAACTTCGTCGCATCGAGAATGAGATCAATCGCCATATATCGACGCTACAGAGCCACCGCTACGAGTGCGAGAACACGGAGGTGAAAATTCGCGACGTTAGGCAATTGCAGCGAAAAGCGCAGTTCGTGCTGAATAACGTACAGTCGGAGCAGGAGACCTTTTACGAACGTTTTAAGAACCTGAGTCTGAACTACGAGGCGTGTGTGGAGAGATCGGGTGGCCACGAGGACCCGAACGAGACCATTCGAGCGCGAATAAGCGAACTGACGACGCGAAAAAATGAGCTGCTGGACGAGCTGGCGCGATTGAGAAGGAACTTGAACGACAACGGGAGGAAACTCGCCAACGTGAGGGCTATGATCGTGGAACAAGAAGTAAATAACTTCCGGTGCTTCCCCTTTACCGACACTCATTGACCCAAGTATCATTTTGTTCCTGTGCTCACAGACTATTGAAAAGATAGACTTGTGTCGGTTTGTGTCGCTAGATAGAAAGCACCGTTCGACACTCGCCTAATTTATTGCGATAGCAATACGAGATTACCAACATCTTTCGTTGTTTCGTAGGGAAAGAACGCGAAGCAGCTCCAAGAATTGAAGGAGATCTCTGAAAGCGGCGTATTCAACTCGCCAGAGATAAAGGAACGGTTAGACGCCATTCTCGAACGTCGGGGAGCAAATGACATCGACGATGCTATCGATAATACGCTGTAATAATAAAGTTTCTCGTATAAATATAACATACTTGTACAAAAAGTTCAGGATATAAATGCACCTGCGCGTAAAATTCGGCGCACATAATATATACATACGTGCATATAACTAATAATATGTATACAATTAATAAACGTACTCCTCGCGAATCTATTAATTTTAATAGGAATACACCGAAACACAATTATATACAAGCGCGCGTCCGAGATGCCGTCTCGGAGCCTAATCGTTCTCGATCTCCTTGAGACAAGTCGCCAGATGCTCGCACGTGTCCTCCAATTGTTGCAGTATGATCGGCGCGCGATTCAGAATTCTCGTCACGCCGTCGTTCGTGGCGAGTATCCTCGATCTACTTTCCGCGATCGACCTCATCAGGGTTTCGTTCTCCCTTTCCATCTCGTTCACCCGCTTCTCCAACTCCTCGGTCGCCTCTTTGATCTCGTGCACGTCCAGCGATCTAAGGTGCGTAGCCACGTCCCCCGGCGGACGCCTGCAATCAGACGACGACTCTCAAATAAGAGATTACGCTCGCAATCGCACGACGATCGTCCGACGGAGGATCTACCAACCACGCGTGTTCGTTGGACGACGCCATGCTCTCCTCGGACAGCTTGGCTATCTTGGTGAAGACCTGGCGCAGATCGCCCTCCTCTAGTAAAGCCTCCAGGTCATCCTTCATGCTGTCGTACAGTTCCTTTATCATGACTTTGTGCAGCTTCCGGGCCGTACTGGGTTGCGACTCGAGCACCGTGAGTATCTTGAGAAACTCGGTCTCGCTGGAACGAAAAGCGCGACAAATTTATTACGCGCGAAACGGACACGCGTTAGCGTGCTCGATCGGCAGCGCGAAATAAACACGGCATTATCTAAGATCAACGACATCCGGAAATATGATACAACGCACTGCGTGGCGATCTCAGTTATTCGCTGTATCTCGTTTCGCGGAAAGGCGCCTTATCGATCCGGACGATACGCGCGTGGGTTACAAGAGGCGCGTGCCTCCTTATTCCGCCGGCTTCCCCAACGCACGATCGGATGCGCGTATACACATGATGCATAGTCAGTACGTGACGACGTATCGGCCGGGGATGTCGAGTTTTTTCCTTTGTCCTGCCGCCAGACAAAGAGCAGCGGCGCCTTCGATCACAGGGGACGGGAATCCGCACGGTTCTAATCGACTTCTCGCCGCGTTACGATAGGCATACAATAGCGAAATCCGATCTCCTTACTCAGCGCTTCCGCTTTTTTTTTTCTTCTCAAGACGCGTTTACCTCGACACTCGAGTAACGTTCGCGCAATTGTACCGCGTCAGATTTACCTCGAGATCCACGTGTCGTCGGCGGGCTCCACGTTGTTCCTCGCGCGCCCAATCAGGCCGGGACTGGTGCAATTTGAAATCAATGCTACATATTTGCATTAGTCCAGACCTAACCGAGCGCGCTTCCGCCGCCGACGGTCCAGGGGAGGACGGTCCGTTCGCTCGCACCTTCCTCGGAACCGAATTAACGGCGCGAGTCTGAATTTGGCGCGGGAGAATTCGCCTGCTACGGTCTCCTCGGCGTCGGGACTGCCGAGAACGACGACCACACGCCGGGAACGTGCCGTACGCCCGAGCGACGAGAGAGCCGACTGTGCCTCGACCGAGGACGCGCGCACGCACTCGCGCGACACGCAGCGCGCGAGTGACCGTCGCCCCCGCGCCGGTCGCCGCGGCAGGAGGGCCTTTGTTTCTCCGAACGCTTCGTGGAATTCTTCGAAGGTCAACCGGCGCGCGACGGAGGCGGCGGCGGCGGCGGCGGCGGCGGCGGCGGCGGCGAAGGAGAGGCCTTCCTGGAAGCGATTCCGGGCGATTCGGCCGGATCGCCGCGAGGGCTCCCTCCGGCGCGGCGCACAGATTCGATACAACGCCGGGCCATGTGAGCGACCGCGGAGCGAACCGGGAATTAACATGCGGACCGCGGAGGCCAATGACATCGAGTAACACCGAGTGGCGGCGTTTAGGTCACCGGCGATCCCTTCCACATTTATATACACGCGCCGTTCTCCACCTTGAGCGTCCCGCTCGATAAATCACGAATCGGCCTCTCGTGAAAGACGGATTGCCGGGCTGCGCGCGGAGAACAGTTATCTCGTGAGATATCATCTTTCGCATTTATTCTTCCAAGACACGATTTCGGATCTTGGACATTAACTCGTGGGCACGATCTCTCGACGTCTCCCGGCACGATTTCCGTTACACAAGGGGATTCCTAAAAAAACTGCAATTATAAGTACTCTGTTCGTACACATATATATATGTATGGGATGTGAACGCCGAAAGATTACGCTTATCGTCGGAGAATTTATTAAAGATAGCCTCAAAGGATATGACTTACATTCTACTAGTTTGATTATATAAAAATCATTTTACTCTTGGACGAACAAATTTTCATTACTCTTCTCTACCAACGTGCTGGCATTTTCATAAAAATCCAAGTGTCGGGAACAATTGCGAATCCCGAAGACCGTAAACGAGACTACGGATCCGAGGACTCCCGAGTATGTGACGCGACGCGCTTGACACACTTCTGATAGCGGTACTGTTGTCGCCTCCGCGGCTCCGAGTCGTGATTTCTGCGCAGCCAGACGTCGAAACTGGGAAGACTGGGTCTTTTCCTCGGCCGGTTTAAGCAAAGGGGGGAAAAAACGATACAACAATGAATGAAGAGGCGAGGGAGAAACCATTGTGGGGCCTTCGCGTTCTTTTCTTTCGGAGGACAAAAGACCGCCAGAAGCGACGATGACGCGTTTTCGCCTCGATTCGGCTTGTCGGCCTCCAATCGAGCGGGCGAAACGCGCGAGCGGCGACGGACGACGAGAGAGGTTAGGTCGAGCGCGCCAAGTTGCGCGCGAAACCGCAGAAAAGCGCGCGCGCCCGCGTGCGGCTAACGTCGTGCTCACCTCACGGACTCGGCTATGCTCTTCAGGCAGTTGGAGACGGCGATCCGGAACAGCCGGGCGTTGTTCGGGCAGTCCGCCCCCTCGTCCTCCGCCATTTCCCGGCCGACGCCTCTCGTTCGCGCGGGAAACGAGTCCACGCGCCACACGGCGAGTCGTCAACAAGGACGCACCGTAATAACGGTCCCCGCGAACCTCCGCTGCGTGCTTCTCGACGGGATTTGAATCGCTCAGGGAAACGCCGTTCGTTGGAGTTCCGCGCTCGCCGCGGAGATGGCGCTTGCGACGCGTCGCCGCGGCAACTTTGCGTCGCTCCGCGCGCCCGCCGCCCAGCTTCACGCCAAGCAGAGGGAAAACGCTCCAATATTTACGACGCCATGTTTTCTAGCAGCAATTTTAACGCTACATCGATGCAAACTGTTGAGATAGTTACTCGAGACATTCGAAAATGTTGCCTGAATTGATCGTCCGTATATGTTGGAATTGTTAAATCAAAATATTCCTCATTTCGAGGTGTTGCAGCTCGACGTTGTCCAACGCGAAGATCATTCTCGGGCAACGGTTGAAAATCAGATTATCAACAATATTAATATTTAGACCATCATCAGCCACGTATTGTAAAAAAATACTCATAGGGTTCATATTTGATATACACACACGTGTTGATCAGAAATTAGGTTGGATTGTTGCGAACGCATCGCTTCAACTGTTGTGTACGCTGAATGCGGCCATTGATTCGCGAGACAGGGACGTTTACTGCTAGTATTGGGGGCCAATTCTGTACTTTACAATATAGTGAAAATACTAAAAGCGAGCGGCTACAAGGAACTGTAGCTAGTGGTAAATAATGATAAAAATGAAAGCGTCTAATTGTGCAGATTAAAGGATGTAGAGTTTCAGATCAAATGACTTAAAGCTAAATCCTCCCTTACGGTAAAACACTCAAGTTTTGAGTGTTAACAATTGAAATCTGGATGTTTGCGCCCAGATTTGAGAGTCGTGACGTATGCCGCAGATTTTCAGCAACGAACATGAGCGAATGCTAGCCTAGATGCGTCGCCGCTTTTTACCTCGAACGTTTAAGCGTCGGCTTATGTCATATCTTTTTCTCTCCAGCCGTTCGATACGTTTGTCTCGGTAACCGCTTTGTTTCCGACGACTGCGAGAAAGCGGGCGCGCATCATGACGCAAAACAATCAGATTATATCACGCTGGTCCTCTCGCTGGCGTTGCCGTGCGTTTCGCTTGTATTTTCCACTCGATACCAATTTTCCGGATCAGCCGGCGATCGCGGAACCGGTTTGCGATGAATGAAGTCTTCACAGCTCGCTGTTTGCTAATAATTATGGCGAAAGTTCTGTATTGATGGAGATATCGAAAGTGCCACGCGAATAGTTAATTAGTCCTCGCCGCGATTACGGCATATCGCACGTCAATACGGTATAATTGCGCTTAAGGCGCGTTCGGCCGATCGATTCCCCGTCCTACGATATCGCTCGAGCGACTCCGACAAGCTGTCGCGGGCGCGTCGCGCGCCTTAAAAATGCAATTGTTAATTAGCGGCGCTTGTCTTTCTGGGCCGAAAGACATGTTCAACATCACCCGTAACCCGCATTTTCTAACGATAAGAGACGAAACCCGATCCGCATTTTTCAGGCTCGCAAATTCGTTCGCTCGCTCGCGTTTAATCTGGATTAACGGTTTCCAACGTCGAGTTCGGCCATGAAGTTTTATTCGGTCCGTCAAGAGATTTTCAAAAAAGAAAACTATACATTCGAACCTTCCTGGTCGTCGCAAAAGTTTTAATACAACTTGATTAAGAAGACAAAAAACGAAAGATTAGAATCCCTAAATGAGCAGGTCTGTTCTGCAATCTGAAGCGACGATGCTGTTATCGTTGTATTGTCGTCATGCAGGTATAGTAAACCTGCGTGATAAAAAAAGCTGCGCAACGATGACACAACTGTCGAGAGTTGCAGAACAGAGATCTACGATTTGAGAGCTGGTGCTCGCGTTTACGTTCGGCCGCATAAACGAGGCCCGCGCCCGCCACCGCGACGCGACGCGACGCGACGGCCGCACCCCTCGGGGTGCACGCGCGTTTCTATGTATATGCGCCCGCGCTTCGCAAAGGTCAAAGATGACGAGGATGGCGAGGAGAAGCCGCACCACCTCCATAAAGCGGAGCGCAACGTTGCGACGTGCCTTAGTTGTATTATGCAACACCGGCTCTTCACCCGGCGGCCTGAACTATATTTTCTTTTTGCTTCGGCTAACTTGGCGCTCGCGGGAAGGCTCCGGCTACCGAGAGCCGAAGCGCCCATTCACTCGCGTCGCCAGCGAGAGAGGAGCGACCGATCGTTGGTGCAACCGAGAGAGAGAAAGAGAGAGACAGAGAGCGACAGATATCCTTCTCTTTGTCTTGCTCAAAGGGGATTACGTCGCGGAACGAACAATAACTGATGCTTTCTTTCTCTCGCTCCGCCGCGATCGATGGGCGACGTAACGATCTCGCGGTCGCGGATCGAAATTCCGTGACACATTTTCGAATTCCGATGCCGACGGACGACCGCGCGATTGCGTGAGCGCGCGTTGCGAGAAGCGCATGGCGCACCGCTTCTGCGATTCCGTTGAAAGCGACAAATAATTCCCTTAAACGATTCGCGCGTGCCATGTCTCGGCACAGATACTTGAGCAGATATACAGGCGAAGAGGCCGAAGCCGACGAGATGACATCCTTCGGATAAGGTGGCCTCGAATCTTCCGGATCCTCAACATTTTCCAGCTCCGAATAATAATCCGGAACGATACCAACATATACATACAATTGAACTGTTCTACTACGATTCCGTCGAACGTGACAAATCATTCCTTCAAACTTCTCAGCACAGATACCAGAATGGATACAATCGAAAAAGCTATAGACAAGACGATATTCGTTAGACAAGATGGCCCCGAGTTTTCGAGATTCTCAAGAATTTCCGGCTCCGAATAATAATAATCGAAACGATCGAGCACATTACACGAATTGAATTGTTTGAAAGCTCTCAGATGGAGAATTCCAGCGACCGATCACTACCGATAGATCCGAGATATCCCGCACATCGATCATCGCGCAAGCAGCATCCATCATGCGCCGTGGAGAGTACATATCGCGACAGATGATCGTGGGAAGACATTAACCGGCAATAAAATAACGCCGGTCTATATATTTCGCTGCGATCCGCGGGGGAGGAAGGGTTGCGAAAATGAAGCAACGGCAACGAACGCTGCGGAAGGCGTCGTTGCGAACGAAAGCTAATGGAAATTAACGGCGAGGGGAGTAGACGGGGGAAAGAGGGCATCCCAATTATGCGACGTGCGAGACGCCGAGTCGCGCTGACGTAACCGGTGTCTTATGCGTATTCCATTAAATCGCGATGCGATCGAAGCGAGCGCAAATTGATGGCTGTGTAATAAAGTTTAAAGCGTTTCATAAGTGTCGACCCTAAATTATTAGCGAGCGGCGCCGACGTCCGGAAAACTCGAGTGAAAAATCCAGACTTCTAACTACTAGACCGTCTTTCTTTCGCTCTTGATAAATAAACATTAACGCGCGTGCCAACGCCGAAATATCGGTATGACAATCGCGTCGAGCGAACGACGAATAAAACAAGAGTCGATTGCATTCCCCTCTAAACTCGCATCGTCTTGTTTGCGCGGCAAACGTCGTAATTAGCGAGCGGAATGAGCTCGCGCCCCTAATTCGCCGCGACCTAACCTAAACTCGGCCGCGTCGCACCGGCCAGGAATGCATCGGAGAGGCGGTTAGCGTTTTTCTAACCCCGCGCGCGTAAAAGCGTAGAAAACCCGCTCCTCGTCCCTTCTTCCTTTTTTCGCCACGTCGCGGAGTTGCGTCAGCGCCGCGACGCGTAATAGAAAATCGCCGGGGAAAGACCGCGGTTTCTTTTTTTTCTCTCCCTTCGTCGACCTCCGGCGACGCGGGCTCCCATTCTTTCGAAACGGTGCGCGCGAGGTCGCGAGGAAGAGAGCGGAGGTAGAGCACGCGCTCCCGGTTCTCTGCACGATCTCTTACATGTGTATCTCGCTCCCCGATACCGCGGGATGCTTCCGCGATACGCTGTCGAAATCCGCGGTCGGGTTCGCGCGATAATTGGACGAGCCAGTCTTGAATTCATTCGCAAGTGAAATGGCTACAAACCTTGCAATAACCAATCAACTTGCGACTTCTACGTTTCTCTTGCGAATAAATTCAAGAATCTACGCCTATAACATGTTTTAAATATTGGCTGCTTTCCTCTTAAAGCCTGTGTCCACGATGCTAGGACTTGGCCCAAGTTCTAGTTTCGAGAGATGTGTAGCCAATCAACTTGCAGCTTTTCCGTAAGAGATGCAAGTTGATTGGCTACACATTTTTCAAAACAATTTTTGACTGAACACGACACGTGTCGCTTTCCACTTCGAATTTCATTCAAACCCAATCGACACTTTTTGACTAGCTGCTCGGGAGGAGAGTCTGTGTTTTTGACCGAAGAACGCATCCGCTCCGACTACTTCGATAGAATTTTTTTCTACAGAACCTTTTCTTAAAATCTTGTTCTTTAAATCTTTGCCATTTCACAGTAGCAACCTGTGCTCGAATGCTCGAGAAATTATTCGTCGAGCAACGTCGAAACGATGTCGAATCGACGAATCATTTCTGGGAGAGCAGACATTGTGTGCTGTCTTAGATGAAACGAGTATGCCGTGTTTTTTCTTTCCAGAGGAAAGAATCTGCAAGGATCGCCGTCAATCGAATGCTAGACGTGACTGGCGAAGGACGAAGCCTCTTCGCGCTCGATAAGATCTGGCGGGTGCCGAAATCTTGGGATTAATCGCCAAGAACCGAGAGAGGAGACCGTTCGATCCTTTCGATTATCTCCCGGCGCCGTGGCCGCGTGGAACCCGATACACTTACACTGAAAACAATCTGGTTGCATTAATTAGAAATCTGGTAGATTCAACTAGTGGTCTGTTAGAAAATGAACGAATCACTAGATGTGTAGTGAAGTCTATCAAGCTGCTGGTTATGAAGTATCGAGCCCTATCGCGGTAACTAGAAATTCCGTTTGGTTTAACCAAAGTACATTCTATCATACGTGTCTTGTTGATACAATCAAACCGTTTTTTTTTCAGTGTAGAGATTCACGTCGGAAGACAGAAGATTTCGACGGAAAGAGAGATTTCTCGCGAGGATGAGACTCTTGCGTAACACGAGCCAGATAGACAAATGCACGGATTACGTGTCAAAGGGACAGGATCTACTCGAGGAATATCGGAGAACCGCGTACGAGATCCCCCTTGAAAAGCAGAATAGGACGCGATCTATCAAGCCTGCGGTTCACGATCGCTCGCGAGTTTTCGTCTCGACCGAGACGTAAACCGATGAGGGCATTGTGGTGTACGGATTTGCAGCATTACTGGACATTGCTAGGAATTTTTTGGGCATTAGGCTGGGACGCTATAAAGATAAAATAAGATAAAATAATGCCCACTGGGCATTAGTAGGCATTGGCATACACAATTTATCCCTGGGCAGCGGTTTACCCCTCGGTCTCGACTGGCATCCGACTCGCGGAATGTATCCGCTTAGACTCGAGAACCGGAGCTCGGGAACGCGAGTCATCGCGCGTTTCCTCCTCTATTTCCACTTTGTTCACCGCCAAGAATCTCACGTAACGTCGAAGCGTATGATTTTAGCCGCGATTTCTCAATGCGGATCCGTTAAGTTCGGCCCGCTCCATCTCTCTGGGAATCGAGACGAGCGCACGCACGCGATCTTCCTCTCTCCTTTCCGCGGCTAGCGATTGGGATGCGATCGTCGCTTCGTCTAGTACGGCGAAGCGTGAGTACGGTGACCCAAGGTGGATCGTTAACCGGCGAGTTACGTTTGCCGATCGGCAATACCTTGGACGATTTGAAATGCGCCTCGGTTTACGCGCGCGGTTCCATTTTATGGAACTGTTTACGGCGCCGAGCCACGCTGGGATTGTTGGAAATCGCGCAATTATATTTATGGATGCGTAATATTCTCGCGCGAAGCCTCGCGAGGATCCTTTGCAACGTTGCTCTTGCGTAATCGTCGAATCTTCGGCTAACCGGATCTGATTCTCGGCCGTGTATCAATTATCCGAATTATACGATGCACGGTCTAAATAAAAACGCGATCGCTGACGGTCCTGACGAGATAATATGGTTGCGATCCGCCTGATGCCGCAAGCGCCCCGAGGTATTTTAATAAAGAAAGAAAGAAAAGAAAACGCTTCGAAACGTTTGCAGCATCAAGTGGACCGCGGCCAATAGCTCTCATTAATAACTCTTGCCGCAACCGGCGCGGCGAGGAAAGGGATGAGCTCTACGTCACACGTGGGCAGAGAGCTTAGAGTCGCGTTTACGCGCGGAGGACCATCCCCGGTTCCTGACCTAGCTCACGCGCGCGTGCACCGGCACGCACGTTGGGTATCGGCGTCAATCGGTGTCCCCGACGCTCTCGACGCACGGATTGCGCAACGAGCGGATTGCCCGCCGCTCGATTACGGAGCTCGCGCGTCGAGCCGCGGCGTCGCCGGCGACGGCGACGATGTAATGACGACGCCGCGACCCCGCGGGTATAATTCCCGCGTCGAAAGAGCCGATATAATTACAAGGGAGAGACGAGCCGCATGCCGGCCGCGCGTCATCGGCTCGTCTGTTTTTCCACGCTTTCTCGCCGCTTCCCACCTCGTCCCCGGGACCCGGGACGCGCGCCGAGGACGAGCCGAACGAAGGAATCTCTCGTTCGGTGTGAAAAACACTCGGGGGGGAGATTTCGGCGGTCGGACGCTTCGTGCCAGACATCGAAGCGAATTATCGAAGCGGCGAGATTACTCAATCAATAATCTGCTCGTAACGTATCGTTCGCCTCGCTTTCGCAGCTCGCTGCCCCGACCCTCTATCGCTTCGCGCTCTCGTGCCGATCCCATCGACCTTCAGATCCATTCGGAGATGCCTGCCGATCTGTATCAGCCTGGCCGCGGTTGCGCAACCAGCCCTCATCATCCTAGCTCAACGGATGCCTCCTCCGCCGGCCGCCCCTCCGGCGGCCCTCCCACCGTGCGCGTCTTCATCCGGCGGCTCTGGGATCTCCGCTTCTCTCTCGCTCTCCTCCCGGCACCTCTCGTCAGAGAGAATTCGTTGGCAAATCTTCGAGGAACGCATCACCGGGGTTTATCTCCAGCCGCGATGCCATCCGCGGTTGCTCATCCGCGGGTGGGAGGAAGACGATCCTCGCGCGGGATCGGTATATAAGTATGCCCGATCCGATCTGGATACGCGCAGACCAATTATCGTCGTCGGTTTGGCGATATACGATATATTTGAGTGACATCGTTCGGATTCTTGATCGACGAGCACGTACGCCCGATCAGCGAGATGAGATCGGTACGAGTCGCGCGCGAGGATGTAGATCTCTCTGTACTTCCGCTCGCCGAAATCTCAAATCGGGATCTCTCGGATTGCTGCAAGCTTAATGTAATTCCAATTGTTTCAACAGCTCGCCATTGCGCTGCTGGCCGTCATCGGTACGTGCTGTGCCGCGAGACTGGACAGCGGTTATCTCCCGCCGAGTGGTGCCGGAAGCGCGGGTGGAGCAGGATTCATTCATCCTCCGTCTTCGGGACACGGCGGAGGTGGACCCGTTAAGTACAGTGGCCCGGTCGGTTTCGGTGGTCCAGGTGCTCCCGGTGCCCCCAGTGGTCTTTACGGTGGTCCTAGCGGCCACGGTGGCTCAGGCGGATTTGGTCCTGGGGGTGGCAGTGCTTATACAAGTGGTAAGTTTGAACAATTACTGAACGCGAGAGGAAAGTGGTTACTTTGTCCTGTGCGCTTCAGTCCGCGTTTCTTTCCGCAACTGAAATTTTCAGTACGGATTATTACACCCCTAGTAGCACAGTGCTTTGGCTAAACATTGGCCGATATTGTCTAACGTAAAGCCAATATTGGTCATGAAATAAATGTAAATATTGCACGGTAATAATTATATAATATTAGATTTATATTGGAAGTGCATTGGCCAATATCTAACAATGTAATAAGAATATTGGTTTAACATTGATACAATATTAAACCAATATTGCTAAATTATATTGTGCTACTATGGACGAGTGAAATCCAAGTTGACATAGCTTCTTTTAGAAATGTTGGCAGCTCAGTTGTGCGACTTATTTTAACATTTCATCTCGTTATTTTAGGCGGCGGACATGGTGGATCGGGTGGTGGCCATCACGGTCAGGAGATACCCATCATTTCTTATAATAGCGATAACGGCGGCGACGGAAACTATCACTACAGTTATGAAACCGGAAACGGTATTGCCGTGCAAGAAATGGGTCATAAGCAAGGTAAGAGATAGCATTTCCATTTCTTGATTAAATTATTCAATTGAGTGGCTGTATTTCGGTCTCGAACCCGATTCAATTTTCCAACGAGCGACAGCTAACGTTTACTTCTGAAATTATGGAGTCTTGAGATGTTATCGCAACGCGTTTGGTGGCAGCGAGGACATTGCGTCAAAACGTGAGTGCGTGTCGATGTTGCAGGGGAATCCGAATCGGTGAGCGGATCCTTTTCTTATACCGGGCCCGACGGTATGCAATACTCGATCACGTATACGGCGGATGAGTATGGCTTTCACCCTCAAGGCGCTCACTTGCCGACTCCGCCTCCGATTCCTCCGGAAATTCAACGAGGCGTTGAATTGGCTCTCGCTGCCGAAGCTAGGGGAGAGAATCAGGACGGTGCATATTCGCATGGAGGAGGCGGCGGATATCCCAGCGGAGGTGTGTTATATGCTTCCGAATCAAGTATAAACGAACGTTTGTAATCGTGCCTGTTAATGCATCTGCTGGTTGTCGAATTATCTCAGGAGGTGGTTATGGCGGCCATGGAAGCAGCGCGTATCAGGGACCGAGCTCGTACCAGACAAGTTCAAGCGGTGGCTACCAATACTAGAAAGCGGATCAGCGACAATCACCTACGTGCATACCATTTTCCGTTTATCTCGTGTACATAACGATATATCATTCATGCAATTTTCTTATTTATACAAAGTAACTTTTATTTATGAAATGTCGATTCTCTAATTTTTCTTGAAATCGCTTTTATGTACCAGCAACTTTGATGTTCAAGTGCCTTTTACATGTTATATTACTTTAAGAAGTACATGCTCTTCAAGAGTATATACACATGACATGATATCTGTGTAAATGAAAACAACTGCGATATGTGTCGCGCATTATTCTTTATGCGCTTAATACATATGATTATATATAAATTTTGAGATGCTGTATCTTTAAATAAAATTAAATGTATAACGCTGTGAGACACATATATTGTAAATTATTTTACATGTATATATAAAATATTAATACTGTAATCTAAATTCTAATATTCCTTTTTTCACATCTACGAAACGAAATATTCTCTGTTTACAGAAAAATACACTTGATTGTAAGAAAATATTTTTGTTACAACAATTTAAAGTAATGCCTAAACAACTGATATTAAATACAATGTGTTTGATATTATAATAATATATTGGTAATTTTACCCAACAAGATATAATTAATTACAATAAAGTATATTAATTATACATACCATTTTACAATATTACAACCTGTAAAAATTAATATTAATTCGATTTCCGTCTATTCAAAACATTTCTGCATCCAATAAGATGCAATCAAGTTAAACTATTTCTTCATGACTAGTAGCACGAATTTGAGACTCATCAGACTCAATCATTTCTGCTCCTCTTGCAAACTGAATAAAGAGTTGTTCCAAGGTTGCAGATAGAACAGCGTAATCTTCAATGCAGCTATGGTTTTGCTTTAGACTCTTCATTGTATCATACATTTTTTCCCATGTTGTATTGCAATCAGTTACGTGATAGCCAAGAAAACCCTGTAAGATTAATAAAAATAGAAAGAGAAAAATTAAAGCAATTACAATCGTATTGCAGATATTCTGAGCAAAGCACAATCATTACCAAATTTTCGTCTCTAATATCGCACGTTAGAGTCGACTCGATAATCTTCTTAATATTTTTAACATCCTCGGCCGTTCGGTTTGGATTTAATTTTACGTGAATATCATAACCCGCTCCAAATCGTTGCTTCAATTCTTGACATGCACCAACGCAGACCAATTCGCCTTTCACCATAATGACCAGTCGATTACAAAGGGCTTCACACTCTTCCATGCTGTTGAACAACGTTTTAATGTTCCATTCGATAAAATGAATTGTATTAAAATCTTCATTGCTCTTTATTTTATTTCAAATACTTGTATTCTAAAAGATACCTATGAGACGTAAGTATAATAGCTTGTCCTGCTGCCTGACACGACTGCAAAGTATTCCAAAGCGATCTTCTAGCTGCAGGATCGACACCGGTTGTAGGCTCGTCCAGGAGAACAAGAGTAGGATTACCGATAAGGGCCATCGCGATGTTTAAGCGTCTCTTATTACCACCGCTGTAAGTTCCGCTTGGCTGCTTCATGCAGGCAGTTAGATCTGTAACAACATACATTCATATATTCATATTTATCACGTGCACTATTTTTACATATACGTACTTTATTTATTATCGCACTTTACTTACTCAGTCTATTAATCCATTTGTTAACTTCCAACTCTACGTTGGACTTTGGTATACCGCGAAGACGAGCAAATAGTCGTAAGTGGTCAAAAGTGTTTAAGGAGGGTATTAAAGCATCAGTTTGTGGACAGTATCCCATCTCAGAAAGATACTACAAAAGAAAAATAATATAGAAGCGTAATAATAAAAGCGTAAATAATATAGAAAAATAAAATCGCCAGGTTATTACCTTTCTCCTGTCTGAATGGATTTCCGCTTGCTTTAGGTACATTATGCCGCTATTAGGCATTTCTTCTCCTGTCAACATCCTGAAAGTGGTACTCTTCCCAGCGCCATTAACACCGAGCAATCCGAAACATTCCCGTGGCTTCACACGAAAACTGATTTCTTTCACAGCCATTAACTTGCCGTAGTATTTGCTCAATTCATATACTAAGAAGAGGCTGTTACCTTCGCTTACTGGACTTTGTAATAATTCCATATTAATTGGCTCTGCCATTTCTGCCTTTAATTGTTCTTTCTCGGTAATATCTGTACATAAAGTCAATTGTGCATTATATACACATATTTTGTATAAAATATAAACTTCACGAATTAAATTATTTATGTGTTTAACTTATACATATCATTTCTCAGGATACTAAAAATTGTCTTACTTTGGTTGTTAAGTTTATTAATTTCTATTGCTGCTGAATGTTTTTCTTTCTTCACTTGATCATCCATTGTGGTTTGTTCCGCTTTTAGTTTCGTACCAACCATCTTTCCGAATAACTTTGAAAACAGTTTTTCTTCCAATATAATTAGTAGAGCGAAATACAAAATTGGCGTTATAGATAGATATACTATACTTTCTTCGAAATTCAAATCATCTTTGAAATCTTTGAAGTAAGGCATTTGATTTTTGCAAATTCCATCTGCGCAATCCAAGCCTGAAGAGAATTATGATAAAGTAAATTATAAATTCTGTCGTTAAAAATAACACTTGAAAATTACATTTGATGAAGATGTTACATAATCTTACCACAACAAGGATCGTGTGCCGCGAAACAAACTATAGCGTGAAGTGCATTTGGTAGACGACGACATCTTGCATTTTGTACTGCTATGGTGAAAAATGCATATTGACCGTGGAACAAATTTATGTAAGGAATTAAACGGAAGAGTCTCTTTTGTAGAACATGTAGCGGATTAAGCCACTCGAAGCTACTTATTACTTGATGTAGAACATACTGTATTAAAACTGAAATAATTTTTCAAGTTTATTCCTCTGTGCACACAATAATTTACTTGCATTTTTCTTAAAGAGAGCATTGAATTAATTTTATTTAATATATTCGTTTTTAATATCTTTAAGAAATATCACAAGCTTACCAAAGCCGACAGGGGCGATAGCCAGTATGGTTATTATAGTGCTCCTCGATTTATTCATAAAACTAAATAGATACACAAAAAGTAAAACGTTAATACCAAACAACTCCAGAATCAATATTGTGCACCCTGTAAGGAAAAAGAAGTAAATATATAGAGGGAGATTCAAAAATATAATATTAGTTAATATTAAATATAATAAGAACTTACATATTTCTGTACTATAATATAGACGAAGATCAAGAACAATATCCATGATGTAGAATGCCAAAGTAACTAGCAATACACATACAGTAAATATCAGAAAATCAAAAGCGAACATTGTACTCCAGTATGATACCGACGTGACACCGGTCATACGTTGAAGTTGCTTAACTTTCGTCATTGTTTCTTGCAAAGGATGCATTACAAAAAGCGCCACAGTGGGAAAGAAGAATGCACAGAACAGCAAGACGCGTGAAAGCGCGTCTGCCTCCGGCAATTGTATCTTGCTCGAAAACAGCGTATTCGGTAATTGTTGCCTGGACGCAACAATCGAATACTGATCACCAGCGAGAGTCTTGATGAGGGAATTACTCAAAAGATTCACTGTTAGTGGCACGCTGTGAATTGCTAGGCCAGAATAAAAACCGTTAGCCCATGTCGTGTTGATTTCAGTGCCATTAAATTCGGCGGATACAATAAAGTTGTTCCGATATTGAACAATATTTTCCAAAGAAACATTTACAAGAGCTGAAAGAAATAACAGATAAAGAAATCGTTCAGACAAATTGATTATCGTGCTTGATACAAAATCACATAATATTTACCGCTTGTAACACTTGTACCCGGAGCTACCCGCTCCGCTTTGCCGGAATACTCAACAACGTCTCTGTATTTTTGACCAATTAGTTCGTTGTCCGACGAGTATAAAGCTTTGGCATCTCTGTACATATCAAGCTTTAATGGAATAAGATCTGTGGAATCGGCTGGTAGATTATAACTTAAGGCCATTAGAAGCACCGACAAGAGAGGAAGAATTAGCTGGAAATGTTAATGACATGTTTTAATAGAAAAATATAAAGTATTACAAAAAGAAATATCAATAGAACATGGTGCAAAACATGGCAATCTTTATGTTAATGCCATTAAGAAGAAATACATACAATTATCAGCAAGTTAGTTAGATTCTTTCTCGTATAAGTGAATTTTTTGCAGAACAATGCCAATATTGATCGCATGTATAGCTCGCTGCCTGTAACTTTCTGCAATGGTGCTGTAAATAATTCGTTAAGGTGTGTCCCATTATCTTCTTTCTTCACGATCCTACAACAAACAATATGGTAAGAAAATAGTAATAGAACAATGATACAAAACACATTTCAACGAACATACTTCAAAAATACTTGTTCCAAAGTAATCAATGACACGCTTATCCCAGTAACTCCTAATTGTTTCTTTTCGCTTTCTACTTTGTCCAGCGATGGTGGTAAAGAATCAGTAAACGGCACATTTAAAATAATCTTTTCAGTATCAACACAAAGCTGCTGCGTTCTTGAATCAAATTTACTTATCACTTTTTCAGGAATGCACCAGGACTTTGTCGACAATGTAACTTCTATATGTCCATGGCCTACCGCAGAAAAGTCATAATTGATAAAACAATACTCTAAATTATGTATCTTGTTTAAATAACAGTAAAGGCAATAACATACCGTACTGTTTCTTCAAAAACATTGCAGTGCCATAACTTCTAAGACGACCTGCATGCATTATCGCAATTCTATCACCAAGTATATCAGCCTCTTCCATATTGTGCGTACTGATTAATATCGTTTTCTCTCCTCTAAGTTTCTGTAAAAGCAAATTAATGTTTATGTGAAATACACAACATACCGTGAGATATAACTTAAAAAAAATTGAATTTGCTTACTAATATAATGTCCCATGTATCTCTTCTCGTTTCAGGATCCATTCCCGACGTTGGCTCATCCAAAATTAAGATCTAAATTTGTTTTGAAAGATCGATATAATATTCATATAACGAATTATGGATTATATTTCTATTTCAGAACTTACGCTAGCATCGCCAATAAGCGCCATTCCGAGGCACAGTCTTCTTTGTTGTCCACCAGAAAGCTTGCTAGGTAGAACATTTCTCTTTTCGGTAAGCTTCAACTTAGAAAGCAAAGCATCAACATCCTTCTGGACTTCGCTTCTGGTTTTATTTTTAGCTTTCAACTACCATAGAAATTGTCATAATATAAAAACTGCATACGGGCAACTAATATATTATTGACACGGTAGCTCTTATTCTACAAAAGTATTGTTATTAATCTCACCAGGCCAAAGAATTCTATTTGTTCAAATACATTCAAATCTGGGAAAACCATGTTTTCTTGAGGACATAGACCTAAATCATTTCTAATACTACTCATGTACTTTCTTATATTTTTGCCGTTTACAAAGACTTTTCCTTCCGTTTCACTTGTCACTCCTATTGAACATAAATACAATCAATACCCACAGAATAACATTTTCAGTGAGAATAATCACATGACAAGAATGCAATACCTGTTAATATAGACATAAGCGTAGTTTTGCCTGCTCCATTATGTCCGAGTAGAGCAGTAATTTGTCCTTTGTAAAAGTCCACAGATACTCCTTTTAACGCGTGAACTTTCTGGAATACAATAACGTAACAGCATTGATACATAACAAAAATGTCATATTCATCTTTCAAACTTACAGATTTTCGTAACCAGGATGTTACATAAGACTTTTTAAGATCACGTATTTGTATTCCGGGTGTAAGCGCACCACCTAATACTGGCTCAAAGTCTTCGTTAGCCTTATCATAATCAAATTCGCCGGCTTCGTCGTCAAGAGCTATTTTATTTTTCTTAATACACTAAAATACAATGGTATAAAAATGTTATATCTCACGTGCACACACTTCTTTCTCATACTATCCCTTTCATCCGTGTGATTGCTTACTTTTAAAAAATATAATGGACTCTTTCGGACTCCATATTTGCCAGGAAGTACAGCATTTATGTATACTGCAAGTGTAAAATGTATCACAGCACCCAAGATTGAAAAGAGAAATATAAAACCTGGACTTCCTGGGTAACCATATTCTGGTCTTCCAGGAATAAAAAGATTACTCCACTGAATACCAATTACTAAAAGAAAACAACCGTTTAGCGAGACAATACATGCACGCATAATCCATTAAAGTTTCTCTAATAAGCTATTAATATAACTAGTTGACATAAACAATATGAACATTACTACTTACATTTGCTTTCATGGGCATTTGTTTCTTCGAAAAGTCTAATAAACATAATATTTGGAAATATTATGGCAAAATATGGTATAAGACAGAAAACTTCTTGTCTTGCCATGTTTTCATAAAGTGAAAGTGCTGCCACGTAAAGAATGGCCAAGACAATTGTTACAAATCGTGCTACAAAAAAGTATTAAGAATATAATTTATGCATTTAAATAATTATTCATTTTACAAAAGGATATTTACGTTTTGAAAAATATGCTGCAACGTGCATGCCGAATGTTATAAGATGTGAGACATGTGTAGTAAACAGGAGCCAAAATATAAATCCGTTCCCATATTCCAAAAAGGCCTCTACATTTGCAGAAAAAGTATTCTTAAATAATATCACTGTTGGTATTAAGTAAATACTGCTGAATAGTATCCCTGTAATTAACCAGCTAAACAAATTGTAGGCCAATTTGACTCCGTTCATTGCCATCAAGACCTGAAAACCACAAAACAGATAAATCTTTTTCAATGATTAAGAAATACATAAATGGAAAGTAAAAAGAGATGTACTAACATTTACACCAATAAATTTCTCTTTTGAGAAGTAGCTGGCTTCTACGCAAAGCGGAATCAAAAAAGCTATGACTCCGAATGAAGAAATTACTTCACGGAGTACCACATCAGCTTCATCTATTTTAACATACGGTGGATAAGGCATTCTTTGTATTGACATCTGAAAAATACATCAAAAAAGTGATAAAAGAACACACTTGATACATATCAAACGCTTATTGATATTGGAGAGTGATAAATGTTAATCTCGTTGTATCGTAGCGACATGTTATCTAAGTGTAACGTAAATATTAACATTGTCGAAAATTTAAAACTAGATGTTCCAAAATAAATTATTCATTATTAAAATATCTTATCAAAAATTGATAATACCGTTACGTCAGAATCTGGCGCTGCTTGCTTTATGAATGCTTTATCTACACACGACTGAACTTGCATAAAGGGAATCATATCGTAATACATTGTAGGCGACGAGCTCAAATGTTCACCCTGTACCGCGCTTTGGTACAAATTATTTGGAATCTTCCACGAATGTCTTATTTTATATTTTACTGCAGGTTCGTTGTATTGTTCAAAAACAACTGCCACCACAGAAAGTATTGGATCTTTCGCCTGAGATAGCGTATAATGGTCTACCATCTCAGTCTCGTTAGTGAAACCCTCCATACCTATAAAAAAAACACAATTAGCATGGGTTAAGTTAGTAAAAAGTATTTTTTACATTCCTCGATCGCCATTTCAAGCAGTACTTACTGCCAGGCAGAATCATGAGACAATATCTGACCGACTCCATGATCTTATCCGTATATGTGTGTTTCGGTACGTAATACACTTTATTTATACCGTTGTCAAGTTTCTTCGCCAAGTGATCTTGCAGCATTATAGGATAGTACGTGGTCTCGTTCACCACAACCGGGGACTGAACGCTGAAATCCCGCACGGCTTGCAGTAACACGAATATTCCAACGGGTATTAAAGCTTGTAAAAATATCGTCAGACGCCAGTGCCTCATGCGCACTATCAAGTTCTTTCGCATCAACAAACCAAAGATTTTCCAACCACCAGCCATTTTTACTTCAACTTGATGGACGCTTTCAACAATGTATTAGCACGCAGTGTTCAAATATCTATGAATACTGTATAGACTGCTTTGCCATTGAGAGTTTACAAAGCCTCCTGAATAAGTTATTACTATTGACGTATATGCTGGCATGAACTTGAAGCATACCGCCTAGTAGTCTATACAGTCTTGGTCATTAAGATTATGAGAAGGTCTCTGTAATTAGCGTATTTTGCGATATCGTGTAAAAAGCCATTTAGTGTTTCTTCCTTATGTAAGTAGCCCCACTTCTGTTGTCATAGCAAATTTTATCTAAACAGACATAATTTATCGTGAGTCAAGGCAAGGTGTATAGAACATCGTGTAATATTCAAGAAGTTACTCTTATTTAAATTACAACTATAATTTGACTTTAATTCGGCCAATTATCAATAACACAATAGAACTAGATTACTCGGTGGTTTTTAAGACAGGATTAAATGTACAGTTTGTCACATCGAATTCTCAGAACTGCGTAGAGACTAAGAAATTCCTAGAGTGCACACAAAGAATTCATTTATGACAAGAAGAAAGAAAAGCTTGAATTCCAACCTTTACCTTGAAAACTCGATTCTACAAGTTGAACAAGAATTTCAAATTTACGTAATATTCTGCAACATTTCTGCGTTTATATAGACGCGACGAATACGGAGACGTACGTCTATATTTTATTAATATTCAACGTACTTGCATATGCCAAGCGCACGCTGCCAAAAGTGACGTTTACATAGCGCAATGTAAATTAGACAAACGTTTGTTTCCTTAAATTCGACGGTATTGTCGTTCCGAGTGGGCATGTGTAAGAGAAGCCGTCACATGCGATAATTCACGATAATTGTATCAATAACGACGCGATAATAGTTTCAAAGAATGTCCTCACGAGACTGTCACATTTCACTAGCGATACTTTCCGCGAGCAGTCAACAGGAGCGAGATCGTTATCTGCCTTGTAGAGGCATCTCTTATCACGCTATCAAAGATGATAAGGCGTCCAATTTTTGCGGAAAGTCGTAACACGCATGACAAAACAATGACGCTCTTCAGCGTCTCACGGACGTGAGACAACGTTTGGAGCACACGGCGCCATAACTGCGGGACTGCGGGTCAAAAATGCGGGCACGATAACGCGACGCATAGAGGGGAAACTGTACGTGCTGACGTCACGCCGTAGATTCTACGAATGCATGCATGACGTGTGCCTCGACACGCATCGGTCACCGTTCGCCGAGCGCTGTGAATCGATACGATGACTTTATACCACGAATCTTATTTTTCCTGCCCGCAGCCTTTTACCATGAGAGATGGATTACCGACCGAAACTGTAGCCAACCCGGGAAAAAATGGAAAATCTCGTAATGTGTCTCAATCATGTAATATCTAATTGCATCTTGAGAGATATAATTAGATATTACATTATTAAAATATAAATAACGAGATTTTACCTTTTTTTCCAGAGTTGGCTACAATTGCAGTCGGCAATCCATCTCTCATGGTAAAAGGCTGGGGCAGGAAATAAGATTCACCCTGTTCATAGTCGATTCTTATTTCAAAATCATTCTTAAGATGCTAATACGGCTCTGTGATTGGTTAAAATCACAATAATAGCCAGTTTCACAAACGTCGGTTAACTGCTAACCGAAGGTTAATTGATCCGCTGTCTCTTCTTAAATAATAAGATGAAAAAAGATAGGGAGTCGACTGAATCCTAGTCCGATGTTTGTGAAACTGGCCCTAAGAGTATACTTAAGATGATCTTAAATATAAGAACGGACTATGAATACCGGTCTAAGTATGGTTTCACTATAATTTTTAACCGTCTTCTTATGTAGAAATGTCACCCAAGTCCGTAAACGGTTTCAATACAACGATTTTTGTCCATTTATTTACTCACTCATCCCTTGGTGTAGAACGGGCCATAAGCGAAGCGCGACGCCACTAACCGACTCGTTACACTGTCGTTACGAGACTGATCTTGCGTACGGCGTGACTTTAAAGGCTATTCTACAATTGCGTAAACGTGGTTGTTAGCGGTTGTAACAGTGTTGTAAAACACAGTTTTAAACTAGCATTTCCGATTGTAAAGCCTGTTGTAAAAGATGGCTGAACTTGATCTTTCACGACTACAACGATGTAGGACGTAAAAGCTAACTAATCATTCATTTCAATTACGACGTATCTCACTCTATTGTATATTACTTTGATGTACATACAACACTTACTACTACTTCTACTCCTACAACCCTACAACTACGTTTACGCAATTGTAGAATGGCCTTTAGCGTTTTCGATTTTCTGACTCGACCCGACCCCGAGTCAGAAAAGTTTGATCAAAAGCAAGATTTGAACCGCAATTTCTGCAAAAATCTTACTTTTGATCAAAC